ACGGAAAGATATCATTCGCTTCAGCATTTAGAAGACTAACCGGGACGCCATGTGGTCCTGGACTATAAGATTGACGAAAATGACACATGGCTACAGTTACGTTCCAGATGGTAAAAATTATGATTTTGAGGATGGCACCCGTCCACGCCTGGAAAGTCGGAGTTGCAGCAACCGATTTTTCACTAAAAGTTCTGGATAGGAACTCATTGAAACTATCAGCGGTCAACTTAGCGTGAACTATGGGATCTCCTAAGTTGTCTTAGAGTATGGGGTGTTGTGCTTTTCTCTGCGCTTTGACTGTGCGCGAAAAGAGTTTCGCAACATTTAGCGAAGGGTTTTCACCAAAGTTGGCCTCATCGGCTATCTGCTTTTCTTCGGAGAGCTTCTTAGCCTGCTGAACATCAGTTGGATCAAGGGCAGAACGGAAGTGTCCTTCTGTTAATGCAAACGACGAGAGTCTACGCAGCCTACGGCGAAAAGGCATGTATCATTTTCTTACGGGAAACAAATTGGAGAATGAGTGGAACCAGCTTTTTGTACAGTGAATCGGTACAAAAATTTACATCCAAACATTGGAAAAACTCAGACCAGTCGAGGGAATTTAGATGTGTCAGTAATTCCGGCGTATATGCTGATCGGAAGTCATTAAAAAAACTATATTTTGGTAAAATGTTTTGTCCGCCTATAGTTCTAGTGTAGAAGCAGCTGTGAGATGGTCTGAACTCACAAATACGTCTAAAGATGACACTAACACTGGTTCGCACCCCACGCCCCCTATTTGACGGATAACAACATTCATTGGTTAATTTTTGACTAATCTTAGCTCTTATCCAAAGAAACTGCAAGGCAAGGCTAAACAGTTAATGAGCAAACTTTGAAGAATATTTTGTGTGCAGTTTGTTTTCCCCCCATTCCGACAGATATAGAAAATTTAAATCAGCTTAATTAGTAGTTGTCATACCAATAAACTCTAGCGCGGGTTACAAAATGAGCCAACGCCAAGTCCTCCAAGGTTTGTTTTTCCCTCTGATTATATTTTTGTAGTTTTTGATCAGTATCAGAAGTCACGAGTTCAGTTTGCGCAAACGATTGCTGAGCTATCTAATAGACCACAAAATACAGACACACTGTTACAGTGCGGTGTTTTATCACTTTTGAGGCCGTTGTTGCTCGATGTCGTGCCGAATGTTCAACAAAACGCTGCTATGGCAATTGGAAGACTAGCAAATCATAGCGAGGACCTTGCTAACTGCGTTGTGAAAGCTGAAATTCTCCCGCAACTCGTCTACTCTATAAATGAACAAAATGTGGGTTTCTCGATGTGATTTTATATTATTAATCTGTGTAGAGGTTTTATAAAAAAGCTGCAGCATTTGTCTTGCGCTCCGTAGCCAAGCACTCTGCCGAGCTTGCGGAAAAAGTAGTTGAATCTGGAGCACCCGACTCACTTGTGTTATGCTTGGAGGAATTTGATGTTGGAGTAAAAGAAAATGCTGCGTGGAGCCTGGGATATATCGCACGACACAATGCTAGCCTTAGTCAAAGGATTGTCGACGCCGGCAGTATCCCACTACTCATACTCTGCCTTCAAGAACCCGATAATAACCTCAAAAGAGCAGCTGCTAGTTCACTGGGCGATATAGCGAAACACTCTCCTGATTTGGCCCAAAGTGTTATCGATGCTGGCGCAATCGCCTATCTATCTAAGCATGTTACAAGTACATGCCCCAAACTCAAAGTAAACCAATCTAAGTTTAACATTAGTTCCAGAGACAAGCTTTTGCATCTTTAGCGCAGATTGCGAAGCATACGGCAGACTTCGCTGATCTGGTTGTTGAATCCGAAATTTTCCCCGCCATTTTAATATCTCTCAAGGACCAAGACGAAGGGGTTCGGAAGGAGTGTGCAACACTCATCAGAGAGATATGCAAACACACTTTGGAGTTGAGCCAACTTATCGTCAACTCAGGAGGCGCAGCCGCAATCGTTGACTATATAGGCGAGTCCTATGGAAACGCGAGCCTGCCTGGAATAATGGCTCTAGGCTATATTGCCGCACATTCGGAGAGTTTGGCAATGGCGATAATTCACTCACTCGTAAGTCCGATTCTTAACCTTATTGTCTCAGGGAATAGCCCAACTTAAGTCAGCGCTGGTGAGGGAGAACGAAGACCACGTGAAAGCTGCAATAATCTGGTCAATTGGTCATATAGGTCGTCACAGTTCGACACATGCAAAAGCAGTTGCAGATGCTGGCTTGTTGCCCATAGTTCTGGCATGCTACTGCAGGTCAAACAGTTCAGAGGATTTGCAGACCAAGGTAAGAAGTGGGCTTCTAATATAACAAAACAGTCAAAACGTTGTTTGAAACAGGTCCTCCAGAAAGTTATAGACATTGAGGCCCTAGAGCCATTGTTGCAGGATTCGCCGCCAAATATTCTGAAACACGTAGTGGCACAGTTTAGCAAAATTCTCCCGAAAAACGCAAACGCCAGACGAGCGTTTGTCCTCACAGGAGGATTGAAGAAGATTCAAGAAATACAAGCCGAACCAGGCAGCGACCTGGCTGAAAGCATCGATGCCATAAACAACTGTTTCCCCGAAGACGTCGTGAAATATTATTCACCGGGCTACCCGGAGGCTCTCCTCGAAAGAGTAGAAGCTTATCAACTTCCCACATAGATAGACACTCTTATTTTTTCACCTTTCCACGGCGATATCGCGGCAACGATCACTGAAACAAACGACATACCGGCTAATAAAAGCCTACCAACTTTTCATTTGGTCTTGTAGATACTAAAAGTGAAGGAGACGTTACTCTGAAGGCAGGTTTAAATTAGTTATATTTTATACATTTTGAGCATCAGGCAACGATACAACTAACCGAGAATAAAAATCAAACTTTTACAGTAGGTTAAAAGTAATTATTCTAGGAACAGACGGGCAGGGCGGGGTAGAAGTCAGCGGCAGAGTCCGAGGGAAAGACGAATGTCCCAGGGCCGCTTGGCAGTATACTTATAGGGAGGACCCATGGGAAGACAGAACCAACTTCATAAACGACTGTGGTGAAATCGTTTTTCTTGCGAACAGAGTGTTTGCGGATAAAATTATCAAATAAGCCAGGGGATTCAGATGAGTCTGAAAGAGACCGCTGTCGAGTCTTGGATGTCTTAAACTGGAAGTTTAGGCCCCAGCGAACTTGGAAGGTACCCTTAAAGAAATTTGATCGAAGACCAAACTCTGGAGGCGCATTTAAGGGAACGTTGATGGAAAAAGGCAAATAGAGGATGTTTGCGCAATCCAATTGCACTTCAGACCAAGAGGTTCGCCGGGCGTTCTCAGGTAGTTTCGGGGGAGCTATGCAAACAAAAAGTGGCATTCTTTAAACAAAATCTAAATCGACAGGAAGTTATTCAATCATCAGTAGTAACGAGGACGCAAATTTCCAAACTACCACTCCTACTGTCATTGACCTTACGATGGAAGGTATAAGGACTGATAGTATGGATAACGCTAATAACCCTAAAAAATGAGCTACACAGAATCAGCACTGAAAGTAGCGCGCGAGTTTCAGGCCAGCGCGTCTGAAAGTAACGCCTTAACTTATTTAAGCACGTTATAATCTTGCTGTCACGTCAGGGGATATGACGAATAGATGTTGAAAAAAGCTTAAACGAGTACTCATGATACTGGCGGGAAAAGTGGGTCCTGGGAGTTGGTTTAGTTGTAGTGAGCAGGCAGGCGTACAAGTAGCGGAGTCTGAGAAGTAATAAAGCTGGCCAATTCGACGATGCGCATGATATAGTTCGAATATCCTAAGTCTTGGATGGAAACGGCTCAAGCAAATTGACTTTACTACAAGTCACAAAACAACAGAGGTAATAAACCCTTCTCTTGTCGTTCCTTATCAAGTAAAACAATATATAAACAGATTGCTATATAAACAAGCTAGGCTGGGCGGAGGGACTTAGATGATGCCACGTTCCCTCAAATTTCTGTTCAAACATGCAGCTTATGATGAGATTCTGGAGTTGACTGAATTGACAATACAAACAGCGTATGCGAATTACTTGTTAGATACTTTCAGATGCCGGTCTCCCAGCCTTAAGCTCACAAACCAATACTAAAGACATGGGCCCCTGAGAGTTCTTTCCATGCTAGGCATAGTTTTACAAGGACTTGGTGAATGGATCCAGCCTTAGGTTCCAATAGTTAAATTTCCTTGACGATGAAACACATAAGTATTCTAAATTGCCTCCCAGTTTCGACAATGATAGTATTGGAGGACCATCAAATACACTTTACTTCATGGTTTCAACTAATTAAACCTAAATAAGATTGATAAGCAGGCTAACGGTGGTGTGCGTGGAAACATTGTTATTCCAACCGATATGTGAGAAAATTGCAAGTGAACAAAGGAGAGTACAGAGAGGTTGCAGTTCTGTGGGTTACCTACGCAAATAACGAAACTAAATATTGAAATATACGAATTAAACTACATGAAGGCAAACCAGTTAGGAGCCAAAATGTGCCTAGTTCACCAAATTCTAATCGAAATCCTGAAATGTGTTTTCGTTAGGAAACGATTACGTAGGTGACTTTTAATTATTAATTATCATGCAGCATGGTTCCAAGACCATTCAGTACGAGTTCTTCCACTGTATCTCTATGCCATTTACATTAGAATTTATTTTACAGAACGCAGAAAGAGATATACTTCGTATCAATTTGGTTGCAAATTGCATCCTTTTCGAATTTTCTACTGGAGGGATGAATGATTTTTGGTTTCAAACAAATGTCAGATTCTCCAATAATTAAATTTCCACTTAGAGCTTCCAAAATATACGCCGTCCACTTTTCTCTACATTACAGGACTCATAAGCTACAAAATAACTAAACCATACTAGATATCTCGAAAGCAGCAAATACGATGTTGCATGAATATAAATTCCTACTATGACGAACGTTCTGGAAACAAAACAAACCCCTTTTTCGAGTAAGAGGTTTAAAAAAGACACAATTTATTACCAAATGAATATAACAAAGAACATTGTTGCGCAGTTTTTGTATAAAATAGATACCAATTTTCGAAAGCATTGAACAGGAGAAAAATGCGTACTAGTTAAACCGGCATGTTTTTCACCGAATGTGGTATTCGCGTGCGGCCGAAAAGAAGGGGACTCAAGCTACGGTGCCCTTTACTAATCCCAAATACCCTTGGCGTATGACGTAGTCAGCGTCAGCACTAAGGTCCGTTTTTTCCAACACCGCGCTTGTCGCACTATCATGTCTGACAGTTTTAATCCATTAGGCCGAATAATAAGACCAGACTATTTATCTTGGGATTTCACGTGCTGGTCATAACTTTGTCAGGTGCTTCATAATTTGCATAAAAGTTGGGACCGGTCGAAGAAAATCTACACGAAGCATTTCCCTTATCTGTCTGCGAACCGATCGAATCATATGACTACCTAATGAGGAAGGGGCTGAATAAGTTCAGTCTGTAAGAATCTAAACACAAGTGTTCCCACACAGCACCAGCATTCTGTACGGCACCTTGGGGTGGATATGCAACAGTTAGGATGGAGACCTGAGCATCAGTCGGTGGCATTTGTAATAGCAAGTGATGACTAACGAAGCATAAAATAGTCCACTAAAAAGGAATCACCAACTGTTCGAACAAAATCCGGCATGTAGGCCGTTCGACCATTCTGCATGCAACAGCCTAAACCCCCTCCCTAAGACGGTCGATCAAAAAACTTCACTGGTCAGAGCAAGGAGGGAATCAACTTGGCGTGCTCTGGTCCGTGAATGAAAAAAGGAAAGAAACGACAATTTAAGGAAGTTAATAACCTCTTTCGTCTCCGGTAAAGGCGACCTGAATTGGCACGGTGAAGAGGGGTAGAGCAGATGAATTTGTTTGCGTATTTGGCTTGACAGGAACCTCGGAAATACGATCGACGCATTCGTAGGCGTCCAGCTGAACGGTGCACTGAAGACAAGGAACCACTGCATTTTGGAAATCCAGGTAACCGTTAAGACAGTCGCCCAAACGTGCCGCCGTCCTATAGAGCCCGATACGACAAATGTGACCCTCAGGCGCCGATATTGCAAAGGTTGCTGTAAGGCATAGTATAGGTAAGTGTTTAAGCGAAATGCGATGTCTAAATAAAAGCTATATGCATAAATCATACTCACACTCTGAACTGGACGAAACCAACTCTGCAAACACAGTTGAGGGTGATCGGGGTGGTGAGGATTTGCGACTACTCCGTCGTACAGGCTCCTGCGCCTGAGGAAGATTCTCCGGAGTAGTGGAATCCGAGCTGGTTTGAAGTGATTGTTTGAATGCGTCCGTCAGACAGTCAACAACAAGAGGATGGAGATTGACTCCTGGAAGGAAGTCATTAAGGCGGAGGCTAAAGTTATCGTTGCTGCCACCACCACCACCACCGTCGCTTGAATTGGGGGTGCCGGGCATTTTGTAGAAAACGGAAAATGGATTGGTAGACTCCGGTTGGATGCTTGAGTCCAAATCGCTCTCTGTCACCGCCACACTTGTGAGGAAGGAAGAGATGGACGTCGAGGAGAGGGTGGGCGTATAGTAAGCGTGGAATGAAGGCAACACACGAAAGGGCAGGTGGACCATTCGAACATCGGAGGCTACGGCACAACCCTCTTGATCGGGGCTGTTACCACCAAGACAGTACGAGATTTTCCACGACAGTATAGCCTTATAGGCAATGCGAAGTAAGGCACCCCGGTAGCTGGGAGCCAGTTTTCCAGGAAGAATAGCTTTAAGAGAGACTGTGGGAAAGGCACACACACACCGGTTATGCAAGTGAAAAGTATACATACCGACGCAGGATGAATTTGCCATAACAGTGAGCCTCTGATTCAGCGTTTTCCTGTGCAGGTTAGATACCCATAGAACGCGACTGTTCGGGTCAAGACCGGCAATTAGTGCCTCATCTAGTATGATGACAAAAATAGAAGCGAAAACTGAGACACACTGGAAACAGGAAAAGCCTTAGCATGAAAGAAACGTTAAGCATACGTAAAAGGACGCGTTTATACAGCGTGATAAACGCGGAAGGCAAATGAAGCAGGGTCCAAAGCTTAATCTACGACGCAGAGTTTTAGTGTAGCATCGGACAGCTGTCGGGGAGGATTTCAGTTAAATTAATTCATATCAGCCGGAAATAACTGTATAAAGCACGAGTGGGATAAAATTTTCCGAGCTAGGTTCTATCCGAATCGAAGATAATAAGAAAGGACTAGTATCAGCATCAGAAATCAGATAGAAATAAAAAGAGATATTACCTTTTAAAACCTCGGAGCCAACACCTTCAGGTACATAGGTTTTTGAATGCGCGAAATTTGAAGGCAAATTCAGCGGATTGAATCGGAACTGTCCGACTAGAACGCCTGAAAACCTATCGAAGGAACTAAAGTAGGAAGAAAACAAATCCAGTGTACTATTAGTGATGCACTGAGGAACAAAGTGAACAAATAGACTAGCATGAAGGTAGGTCACGGTAAAAGGTCGGACTTGAAAGTATTTGGCTAGCAACAAGCTGCACCCCAAACAGATCAACTGTAAAAGTTTATAGCATAGTTGCTAAGTCTGATAATTAAATCAATGATTAAGGGCAATGCTTCGCGTGAAACTGACGAAAACTTACATAAGAGCAGCAAAGTTTATTATACGCTCAACCGGACAAAGTTGTGAAGGTGTCCATATAGCTTTTGCCAAACAGTCGACTGACGGATGCGAGAAAATAGGTACCTTAGAAGGTTGAGCAGAATGCTTCCCACCCTGATAGCATTTGCCTAGCTGAACGACAGTGTACATGCCGAATAAAAACGTTTTGACCGCGGAGGCATCATCAAGGGCATCAACACTGCACGTACGCACGTATCGACAGCTCGCGCCATGCAACGAACTGTTTCACGGCAGGGATGCCCCTGAGGGGAGAATCTCTTGGGTCACATTGAGCGCAAATGCAATTACACGGGCAGCCATGCGGTCATCGAAACGGCCCACCAAATCGATCAAGGACCGCCGATTCAGCCAATCAGAGTATGGAACACTACCAAACTGTCCAAGGTTCTAGTATAAGCGCAAAAGAAACCCTGACTAGGCTATCAGGAAAACTAAGCCGACTGCAACATTGCATGCGCTACTGATAGTCTTGATACTACTAACGCCGCTCGTGAGATATAGCAAGTCCCCATCTGGTGTCAATACGACCTAGCAACATCCAAGGTCAAAGTCATCTGGGAACTTTATAAAACAATCTGTGTATAAACATTTGGTTGGTCAAAAAGGTCGACCGACCATAATAACTTGGTTCAAAAAATTACCAAA